TGTGTGGATTTCACCTGCTTAAAAAAACAAATATACTTTGTACTGCAAAGATAATTCCTTTAAATGAAGAACAAGACAGGGAGAGAGAGAGACTTTGCCTCTCTGTTGTTAACAGGAGCACCAAATAATTTCATTTTACCAGCAACGTTATTTTAGTCACACACTTTTGTTTTTAATTATGCGGCTGCTTGGCCATTTATTTGTTTTTCTGGGGTTTTTTTTCCCTCCTACCTAGTCACTTGCCGTAGGTACAGCTCATTAAACATTTGAAGAGCATAAAACTGCCATCTGCAGAATTATCCCTGGATATATTACAAGGTTGACAATAACAGCAACATTTGTAGATAGGAGGATGGAAATGTGTTATAGTTTTCCTACTAGGACTAAATCAGCAGCTGCTACGTAAATATTATATTTAAATCAACTGCTTCTGAATTGTCAGTGTAGATACCCTAGCACAGTCGGGGGGGGGTTCTTCCACAAATTTGGCAACTTTAAGATGTATGGACTTCAGCTCCCAGAATTCCCTAACGTGTATGTTGACTAGGGAATTCTGGGAGTTGAAGTTCACACATCTTAAAGTTGCCAAGTTTAAAAAAAAACGCTGCTCTAGAAGACAGATACTTGAGATGGTACAATTTTCCAGTATAATAATTAAGCAAACACCAGTATGCCACAATTTCAACCACCCCACTGTTTTTGAAATGGAGCGATTGCAAATGAAAGAAAAAAAGCCTCTTTGCCCTAAAGGCAATTCAGCATTATGGCTTCTGAGTTGAAAATCTGGTATGAGAAAGATGATTTTTATGGCAAACCTATCAGTCTCTGTTTTCATCTGGGAAAAAAAATATGGAAGGGACTGGTCTTTTTTATGTGGAAAATTAGATTTATGCCACTGATGGTTCAAGATGTCATCAGAAATACCCGAAAGAAAAAAAAAAGTTTGTTGTGGAGAAGCCTTAAAGTAACTCATGAGTCCCATGAAAAGAAATTCAATAAATGAGACCTAAAGTGGATTGAGCTAGAAGAAATAAATAGACTGAAATATGGTTTTAGTTAACACGGTAAAGAATATTTATCTTACAGGTTCTGTTTTTCTGCTCAGACTTTCCTTGTTGTTTTTGGTGGCTTTCTACTGTTCATTTTCTACTGAGGATTAAGAAAATGCTCCACTAAAAATGCCCGGTTGTGTTCCTCACAATGATTTCGAGGATTATAACATTGCCGTGAGCTAAACAAGTCTAAGTCTTGTTAAGCATTTTCCCACTGGATTCTAGGAGAGCCTTTGACAAGAGCTTTTCCCAGCAAATGAAGATAACATGGTTGAAGGGACCAATTCTGCAGAGCTGAGCATCTCGCTTACGTGGCTGAAAGGGAAACTGTATATCCACGGTTATATGTGAATAACCCTGAGCCATGAAATGCACCTCTATTTTACCCGCAAAGGGGTTGTGCACAAATGGAACCCCGTATGCAAAATCACTGCAGATGGGACACTGCAAGATTTTATGGAGTAACTAATTAAGAGCGAAAGTGCACAGTGGTTGAAGTTGTGGGACCACACCATCCTATACAGCCGGTCCTCGACTTACAACAGTTCATTTAGTGACCGTTCGAAATTACAAGGGCACTGAAGCAAGTGACACATGATCATTTTTCACACTTACGAAGTACAGCATCCCCAGGGTCACACGATTTAGATTCTGATGCTTGACAACCGGCTCACATTTATGACGGTCGCAGTGTCCCGTGGTGTGTGTGTGTGTGTGTGTCACGTGATCCTCTTTTGCAACTTTCTGACGAGCAAAGTCAAGGGGGAAGCTAGATTCAGTTAACAACCGTGTTACTAATTTAAGAACTGCAGGGATTCACTTAACAAATGCGGCGAGAAAAGTCGTAAAATGGGGCAAAACTCCCTTAACACATTTTTCCCCTGAGCAACAGAAATGTTGGGCTTCATCATGGTCATTAAGTGGAGAACTTACCTGTAATACTTGATCTTGAGGCACAGGATGTCAACCTCATGCCTCGTTTTTACTCAAACTTCCTTTTCAATCTCCCTCCCATTATGGGAAGTAAGAGGGTAGATTTGATAGATCTTAAAGGATTCCAGCAAAGCAATCTTTGCTAAATCCTTTGCAGCTGACCTTAAGTGAACTTCAGCAGAACACAATGTGCTAGGAGATCAGGTTGTGGACCTTTTTTGCCTTGTAAATAATTGAGCAGCACAATACAGATTCGGCTGCAACTCATCTCTGAAATAACTGGAATGTTTCACTTGCATTTCCCAAGCAGAAAATTAAGACCTCCTTTGAGAATTTTTTTTTTAAAGAACAGATAAATAAAGATAATTACTGAATTAATTAATGAGCATCTATATTTTATTGGGGATTTGTATCCCTCCAGTTACGGAGTATAATTTAAAAGCAGGCAGCAATGATTTTAGAATCATAAGGGCATAACAACATTGCCAATTGGCTCTTTGAATGAGGAAACACATAAGATTCCAGAAAAGGATCTGATGAATTATTGTAGTCAATAACGGTCCTCTTAAAGTCTGTGCGTTGCAGTTTTTATCTCTTTTCCAGTCCTGTTGAGCAAGTTTGGCTTCCTTAAAACCTAAAGAATGTCCTTCAAATAAAATCTCTTAGAAAATTTGGGCAGGAACTCCATAAGCACCATGGTTGGCAAACATTTCCTTCATAAATTGGGAATGAAAAGAATTCAATGGATGCTTAGATCACAGGGGTGTCAAACTGCCGGTCTGGTCTGCGGGCCGAGTGCGCCGAAACCGCGCCCACCCCATTGCCGGCAATGGAAAAAAAAGTCACGATATGTCACGTGACGTTGCGAGTTTGACTCCCCTGCTATAAGGCCGGGCCAGTTCTTATAGAAGTTATGAAACACAGGTTGTCCTCGACTTACAACCACAATGGAGCCCAAAGTTTCTGTTGCTAAGTGAGACAGTTAAGTGAATTTTGCCCCATTTTACAACCATTCTTGCCATAGCTGTTAAGTGAATCACTGCAGTTATTAAGTTAGTAACCCGGTTTGTAAATGAACCTGGCTTCCCAAAGGACTCGGCTTGTCAGAATAATAATAATAATAATAATAATAATAATAATAATAATAATAATAATAATAATAATAATAATAATAATAATAATAATAATAATAATAATAATAAAGTTGGAAGGGACCTTGGAGGTCATCTGGTCCAACTCCCTGCTCAGGCAGGAAACCCTATACCATTTCGGACAAATGGCTGTCCAGTCTCTTCTTAAAAACTTCCAGTGTTGGAGCATTCACCACTTCTGGGGGCAGGTTGTTCCACTGGTTAATTGTTCTAACTGCCAGGAAGTTTCTCCTTAGTTCTAGGTTGCTTCTCTCCTTGATGAGTTTCCATCCGTTGCTTCTCGTCCTGCCTTCAGGCACCTTGGAGAATAGCTTGACTCCCTCTTCTTTGGGGCAGCCCCTGAGATACTGGAACACTGCTATCATGTCCCCCCTCGTCCTTCTCTTCATTAAACTAGACATTCCCAATTCCAGCAACCGTTCCTTATATGCTTTAGCCTCCAGTCCCCTAATCATCTTTGTTGCTCTTCTCTGTACTCTTTCTAGAGTCTCAACATCTTTTTTACATCGTGGCGACCAAAACTGGATGCAGTATTCCAAGTGTGGCCTTACCAAGGCATTGTAGAGTGGTATTAACACTTCACGTGATCTTGATTCTATCCCTCTGTTAATTGCAAAAGGGGATCGCATGACCTTGGGACATAAATAGGAGTCAGTTGCCAAGCGTTCGAATTTTATTCACGTGACTATGGAGAATTCTGCAACAGACATGTGGAAAACCTAAGTCATTCTTTCCAGTGCTGTTGTAACATCGGTCACTAGAGGAACTAAATAAGTTGAGAACTCCCTGCAAAGGTGTGCCATCCTACCACACTGTTTTTAAGCCATGCCACCTGCGTAACGCTGCCAGGCTGACTACTGTGCCCCTTTGCAGGGCTGGCTCCCTCTAATATTCTGGAATGGGGCAAAAACAACGCCGTTTCCAATTCTTCGATGCAAAAGTTGGTGATCTACTTAAAGGACGCCATTCCTCATTTCCAAATGCGACCAGGCAACCACCACCCCCCAGCCCATTGTCAGCCCCGAAGGTTTTGCCCTTAAAGATACACCGAGGGAGAACTCTGTACGTGGCCAGAGACTCTCGACAGTCCACAAATGCATCCGGAGAACACAAGCCGGCAGGAATTCCTGACGCAGCCACGGCCAAAGCGCATTACGCGGGGAGGGCTCGTTCCCAACGGCAGCCCCCCTCGCTCGTGCCCTCCGGCGGGGCGCGGATTCGCGATCCCCAACGTCTGCCCGGCCAGTAACACCGGAAGAAGCGGGAGAAACTCGGTGCATGCTCAGAGACACGCGTGTCCTTCAAGGAAGCCTCCTCCGGGGCGTGGGGGCGCGCATTCGCGATCCCCAACGTCTGCCCGGCCAGTAGCCCCGGAGGAAGCGGGAGAAACTCGGTGCATGCTCAGAGACACGCGTGTCCTTCAAGGAAGCCTCCTCCGGGGCACGCACGCACCCACGCCTTGCCTGCCTGCCTGCCTTTCTGTGGCAACGCTGCGCCTCTTGCAACAGTTGCCGGGCGAGCCACCATCCTCCTGCGCCCCGGGGTGCGCGGAGACGCGGCGGCGGGGCTGGGGAAGCGGCGGGGCGGAGCCGGCAAGGAGGAGGCGGCGGCGGCGGCCCGGCGGGCGATTGCCTGCTGTCGACCTGCCCCTCCAAGCCGTCGCGTCACGCGGGGCTGGGTCTCGGAGCGCGGCGGCGGCGGCGGCGGCCTCCCAGCTCAGCCGTGGCCAGCGGGCGAAGCGAGGCGAGGCGAGGGCCATGGAGCCCGGACGGGATGCTCCTCGCCTGCCCGCGCCGCCGCTGTGATCCTCGGCCGCCCCAGCCGCAGCCCGGCGGCCGAGGCGCAGCGCGGAGAGCGGCCCGCCATGGACGCGGCGTCTGCAGCAGAGCCGCGGCCCCCGGGCGCGCTGGGACCGTTGGCGACGACGCTCTGCTTGGGTGAGTCGAGGCCAGCCAGCCCGCTCCGGCGCGGAATTTGGGGTCGTTCGGGGTGCCCGGGGGAGGGGGGGGAGGAGGTAGGGGCATCCCAGGCGTGGGGCCGGCGGAGAGCAGCCCCCGGGCTGGGCAGGTGGGGGGCACCTGGTGGTGGGACCCGCCGGAGGGGGAAGCCGGGCAAGGGCGCATCCGGATCCCCTGGCGCGCACTTGCCCACCGGCGTCCGCTCGATCTGGGCGGCCGGGAGCGCCTCCTGCGCAGGGAGAGCCGCAGACGGGACATCCTAGGGGACTCCTAAGGTCACACAAACCCTCCCCGAAAAAAATAATAATAACAGGAGCCCAGCAGGACCCAGTAGAGTAAAACTGAAGGTGCAGCCAGCTTGGAAAGAAAAGCTTCGAGGCGCTTTTGCGCGGGTAACTTGGATAGGATTTGCGCCGCTGGCAGGTCCCGAGTGGGAGAAGCGGGGTCGTGCATGACTGCAGCTCCAGCAAGCACGCGTGTTTTCCTCGTGCAAGGGCACTGCGGGATGAAGTGACATCAGCTTTGTTTGCTCGAGCGAAGGCGGGTGTGAGCCCAGCTGCCACACCAGGGGTTGTGTTCCGCAGTCGGAGTGTGTGTGTGTGTGTGTGTGTGCCCTGTGGGTTTTTTTTTTTTTTAAGGTGGGGTGGGTGGGGAGAGATGGGTTTTTTTTTTCTCACTCTGGAGCGTCTTTGGCTAAGTTGGTAGACAACCGCGAGGAAGGCAAGCCACGGTTCCATTTTTGCAACAAGTTTGGGCAGTTTCTGTTAGGGACGGCTTGATTTGGGGCGGATGACATCATAGAAATTCTATCGCTGCGTCCGGGACATTAAAAAAAAAAAGAGAGAGAGAGAGAACTTTTTATTAATGTAATCCATTGAAAATTTCCAGATATGAATAATGCATAGAAAAAGCATTCTTTTTAAAAAAAATAATAATGAAGAACTACATTTTAGAATAGATTTTTTGTTAGCTCAAAGGCAGGAAAAGCACTTATAAAGCCATTATGAGATAATAATGCAACTATAAAGTCGGTTACAAGCGTACCTGGGAAACCCATTCAGTTCACCAGGGCTTATTTCTAAACACTCTGGACTGTAAGGCAAACATTAAGTTGTGACTCTGTTGCAGGATGGAAAGGGAATCTAATTTAATGATTTCCTGGGCCAGGAAGTCAAGTAAATAGTCTGCAAAATTTCACAGCAGAAGCCAGGACATAGCAATAACTTTCCGGTCCTTACAATTATGACTCTTTGTGCGAACCTGTTCTTTGGCGTCCCTGGAATCTTCAATGTCTCTGCTAAATTTAAAAATTCTGGAACCCGTAATAAGGAATGCATTTTGCTCTCGAGATATATTTATTACACGTAATCGTCTATTTGGTCTGATACTGATTTCAGAAAAGCTGCAGTGTTATCGTCACAGGCTTTATGGCAGAGTTGTCTGAACATTGAACCAGGTTAATTCGTACCTGCTCATCTTTAGAGGATATAAGCGATGCACTGTGGATACTAATTATTTCAGCAATGTCAATCGCGGATAGTGGTTGAGTAATATCAGGATATGATGTCCTTCGCTATATTTGTTGTCTTTATTCTCTGTTTCCTGTGTGCTCCACTTCCTGGCTTCTCTCCTGCCAATTGCAACAACACTTATTTTTCCAGGAGTTTTGATAGAGAGACATTATAGAGAGAAATAGAGATAGTCTGCATAGCTGTTAGCAACCTCAGATTTTGATTTATTGTTAGTTATCAACGATGCACTTAAGAGAAGGCTTTTGTTTTGTTTTTACTAAATACTTCCTTTAGGATGAAGATGCATTAATGTGGATGAAATCTATAGATTTACTTCTTGGTAAGTGTGAGTAGGAAGAGTTAATTTGACTGACAAGACTTCTTTGTAAGTTTCTCCCTTTCTCTGTGGGCGAACAGCTCCCAAAGATAGTGTTGATTATCAGGTCCTTGATGCTGTCTGAGTTTAGTGGTTTTCTTGCAAGTCATTTCATTACCAAGCTAGGTAATATCATAGGTGTTGATTATCTTGTGGGCAGACAAATGGAAAGCCTAAAAAACATTTAGAAATGAGCCTTGCCATTTATGCTTAATTTAGGGCAGTGGTCCACAAATATTTTGTTGAATAGGAGTTGTATCTATCGGCATTTGCTGTTGTTGGACATTTAAAAATATTCATTGATTTGGCTTTGTGGATTTCCTGAAAGAGTCACTGGGATCCCCAGTTGTAGTAGAAGGACTGGCTGAGTCTGGAGGGCAGAGTCAAGTGAGTAATCAGCCTAGATCTTTAAGCTTGAATTCCATTGACTCTTATCTAGCCTCAATTTAGTGCTGCCCATTACTTGACTAGATTCTTGTGTATGGGCATAGTAATAAATCAGCTTAATTGGAACTTAAGGTGTGGTCCTGATTCTTTGCCCCTGACGCCAGTCCATACTTTGAAAACCACAAATCTAGGATAGGATCCCAGGGGAAGTCATTGATACTGGATACAACTGGGAGCCTGGAGCCGGAGGAAATTGAAAGTGAGGTGGGGTGAGAATGTATAAATGTACAGGATTTCTAGTTTTGGTGGATAAACAATGGGTGGGGAAAAAAAACAAAACCAGGGCTGTAAGCAACTGCCTCCCCTCCTTCTTTCCCCAGCTCCGTTTTTTTCTTCCTGCCATCAAAAGGAATGCTATTCTATAAATAGAAGTAACATAAAAAGCCAGAGTCTTTGGGAATAGTGTGATGTGGTTTTAATGAAAGGTGGCACTGCTGTAGGCTGTTGCACCATGGCTGGATTTTAAAGGCTCTTTCAGGTCACAACAAACATTCGGCAGAGCTTTGAGGAGTCTGTTGGGCTTTTGGTGGGCCTGTTCAGTGGAGCAAACTCGTTGTAGCGTCTTCAGGGAGACCTGGTTAAACAGCCTGTCTAGGTCCCGGAGGTCCAGAGGGAGGGCACATGAGGTCATGTGCATGTAGCGTGGGGTGTTTTAAGAGAGTGTTTTTGCTTCGCCAGTGGGAACTGGAAGTTTTTAAGAAGAGACTGGACAGCCATTTGTCTGAAATGGTATAGGGTTTCCTGTCTGAGCAGGGGGTTGGACTAGATGACCTCCAAGGCCCCTTCCAACTTTATTATTATTATTATTATTATTATTATTATTATTATTATTATTATTATTATTATTATTATTATTATTATTATTATTATTATTATTATCATTATCATCATCATCATCATCATCATTATATTATTATTATTATTATTATTATTATTATTATTATTATTATTATTATTATTATTATTATTATTATTATTATAAGGTTCCTGCTGAGATCTGGAGTCCTCCATCCTGTTGTCATTGCAAAGGTTTTTCTCCCAAATCCTGGGCTAGCCCGATTAGAAGCCCCCTCCTCTGGATGTGAGATAACAATCACAGAACAATCACAGAATAGCAGACTTGGAAGGGACCTCGGAGGTCATCTAGTCCAACCCCCTGCTCCATCAGGATGCCCTATACCAGTGATGGCGAACCTTTTAGAGACTGAGTGCCCAAACTGCCACCCAAAACCCACTTATGCATCGTCGAGTGCCGGGTGGGTGTGGCCCAGTGGGTGGGTGTGGCCAATTGGGTGGATGTGGCCCATTTGGTGGGTGGTAACGGCAGACTGGGTGGGACTAAAAAGTTCAATCAATCAATTCCAACTTTGCGAGATCTTTTTTTTCCCCGCAACAAGTTGAAATTGATTGATTGAACCTTTTTTTTTTTTTTTGCACACGGCGGCGGAGGCCTAAAGCGAAAAGGTTTTATAAAACCCAGCTGAAGGCCTAGGACTGGGGCAACAGCGTGCGTGCCCACAGAGAGGGCTCTGAGTGCCGCCTCTGGCACCCGTGCCATAGGTTCGCCACCACTGCCCTATACCATACCATTTCAGATAAGTGGCTGTCCAGTCTCTTCTTAAAAATCTCCAGTGATGGAGCACCCACAACTTCTGTAGGCAAGTTGTTCCACTGGTTAATTGTTCTCACTGTCAGGAAGTTTCTCCTTAGTTCTCTCCATGACCCCTTGTTTCTTGTCTTGCCTTCTAGGGCTTTGAAAAATAGTTTGACCCTCCTCTTCTTTGTGGCAGCCGCTCGAATATTGGAACATTGCTATCATGTCACCCTTTTTTTCACTAGACTAGACCTACCCAATTCTTGCAACTGTTCGTATGTTTTAGCCTCCAGGACCCTAATCGTTTTTGTAGCTCTTCTCTGCACTTAAAACATCTTCCAACTTCCAGGTTCTCTATCTTCTTTCTCTTTCTTTTGTTGGCTTGGTTGATGGTTGTTTCCTGTCCTTATATTCTCTGATGTATCCTGAGCCGCCTAGAGTCATTTGGAGTCAGGACCCATCAAGTCAATAAATGAAGTAAAAGGACAACATTGTGACGTGTTGTCATTGTGGCTTGTACCGACAGCCTAGTCTGAGTCTTCTGGAGTTGTCCTTGGGATACTGCACGTGTCTCCTGCTAAGCTGCTGTTTGCATAGGCAGGGACTTTTGATTAAGTTGCATTAAACTGGCTTGGATAACATGCTGAGCTACAAATCTCACATTACGCATTGCATTACATGCCACCATTACATGCTTTGCTGGCTGAGGAATTCTGGGACTTGAAGTCCACAAGTCATAAAGTCGCCAAGATTGGTGACCCCTGAGCTAAAGTGTTAGCAGGAAAAGATCAGAAAGCGCTTGGAGAAGACCAAATCTGGGAGATGCTAGGAGGTGTCTAAAAAGGTTGGGGAAGTCAGAGAGAGAAAAGCAGGGTTTAAAAATCACAATGTTTTGCAGAGGCGATGGAGATGCAGCAGGCACCAGGGCGACTTCCACCCGTCTTAAAGTTGCCAAGTTTGAAAAACGCTGGTGAAACAGGTTATATCTAGGGAGCCAAATGTAGCTTATATAGACCGCAATTAAGCAAATCCTACTTCATCAGGGTTAACACTTCCTTGATATAGATCAGGGCTCTCCAAACTTGGCAACTTTAAGACTTGTGGACTTCAACTCCCAGAATTCCTCAGCCAGCCAAAATCCTAATTTTTTCCCCACAAGACTTCCCACTTCACAAAACTTTGCAGGTATATGCCTCATTCTTCTTACTCATCGTTCTTCTACTTCAGACATCATGAAAAGCTAAGCTCAAGCTGGCTTGTAAGCGACATTTACAAAATACATCCAATATAGGCATGTTTTTGATCAGTATCTTACTGTAAATGCCATCATCGTAACATCTAATTCATGTTTTTTTGGATTTTCAAAACAGTGAATCTCTTCCTGACTGGGAAAATTGAGACTGCGGTCCCTTCCTTAGGTAAGTTAAATTTCCTTTTAATTACAATTTAAGTTTCATAGTCTCCTTGGTGACTCATAAACCATTCCCGGATAAGTGTCCTGTTAAGAAAAAAACGGTCCCTTTCAGAATATGTGAAAATAGGGTGATGCTTTTAATATTGCATAAAAGCATTGATCAAAAAATAATGCTGAGATGTTCTCTCTAGGACTTCCTTAACCATTCACTCATCAGATGGTCAATAGCATCTCCTTACTCTGTCTGGGGTCCAGAAACAACATCAGGGCAACAGATTTTAGAACTTCCCCGCCTCTAAAACTAATTTTGGAAAAGTAAAATGTGTGTCAGTTTAGAAGAAGATGGGGTGAAAAAAATCAATCACTTCTCAGGATCAGCTGATCTTTCTTTCTTTTTCTTTTTTAAATGTACTTAGCTTTGCTTCTGAATTCTGCTTGACGATGAGAAACTCTTTTAACTAGTTTTGCATATCGTGTTTATTTCTTTGGCTTGCTTTGGGCAAAATCCTTTCCTTTTGGCAGTCTTATTTAGGCTATTGATCCTCTCGTAGAAAAAAAGCCTATCCCAGCGCATTTCAGCCGGGCAAACAAAGAGTTTAGTAAAGCAGAAGGAACGGGAATTGATCAAGGCAAGATCAACCTGGCGATATTTTTCTCTGGAAAGGCAAATGCTGCGGAGGTTTAACTCTCTGTTTCTGATGCTACCTTTCATAGCCGCTTGTAGTGGAAAACCAGAGCAGCATACAGAACGGCGAGGGGTCATCTATAGCCCTTCCTGGCCACTCAATTATCTTCCGGCTATGAACTGCAGCTGGTACATCCAAGGAGACCGTGGCGATGTCATAACTATTAGGTAGGTGGTGTGATTTGTTTTTTAAAAATGTATTTCCTTGTTGAATTTCAGGTGTAGTTGAGGTTTGCCTGTCATGGAGGTTTCTTCTGTAGTGCTTTTCCCAGAGTTAAAATGTGGTTTTAGCGTCAGATGGGCTACATGATCAAACTTAGGCTGAGCGAGAGGCAGGAACCGTGCTCACACATCGCACTAAGCTATGGTCTGCTTTAAGCATGGTTTGATTGACCTGGTTGCGTGTTACAGGTAGTCCTTGACTCAATGATCACAGCTGAGCCCCCAAATTTTCGTTGCTAAGTGAGACAGTTGTTAGGTGAATTTTGCCCCATTTTACGACCTTTGTGGCCACAGGTGTTAAGTGACTCACTGCAACTGTTAGGTTAGTAACACAGTTGTGAAGTGAATCTGGCTTCCCCATTGGCTGCTTGTCAGAAGGTCGCCAAAGGGGATCACATGACCCAGGGACGCCGCAACCGTCATAAATACATGCCAGTTGCTGAGCATCTGAATTTTGATCATGTGATCATGGGGATGCAGCAATGATCATAAGTGTGAAAAACGGTCATAAATCCCTTTTTGCGGTGCCATTGTAACTTTGAACGGTCACTAAACAAATGGTTGTAAGTCAAGGACTATCTGTACTGTATGGTACAGGGAGTCCTTTGCTGCTGTACCATACCTCATGTTGCAGGGCTGAGGATATTCATACAATATCCTCAGCCCTAAGCATAACTTGTGTTCATGCAACTGGCTGCACTTAAAGAAGTCAACAAAATTCTGAGCTAAGATGGGGCTGATTTCACGCAACATCCTGAGCCACAAAGTACACAGCCTTTTGTAGCCCGCTTTAGTGTGTTGAGACAACCTAGCTAGTAAATAACCTGACCTAAGATGGCCAAAACAGTAATGCAGGATTAGATATTTTGTATCAGAAGGTATAAAAATAAGAATGCATTTGATTAAAAAAAATATTTGTTGATAGAAGTACAGACATTTTTACACAGTTGTAACACCTCAATTCAACAGACCCCAATTTAGGCCCAACTTCAAAGACATCCCACGAAAATAATGAACAAGCATCCAAAATAATCTGGAACTTAATTATGTCAGCCATTTACACCACTGAGTAATAGCAATAGCAATAGCACTTAGACTTATATACCGCTTCACAGTGCTCTCTAAGCGGCTTACAGAGTCAGCATATTGCCCCCCAACAATCTGGGTCCTCATTTTACTGACCTCGGAAGATGGAAGGGCTGAGTCAACCTTGAGTTGGTCAGGATCGAACTGCTGGCAGGTGGCAGTCAGCAGAAATAGCCTGCAGTACTGCATTCTAACCACTGCGCCACCACAGCAAATGATACGCATCACTCACAGCAGTTTGTGCCTGTTTGGCTTTTGGTGCCATTGACAAAATTGATGTGAATGATGTCACGTGATGTAATGCACCTTCAAGAGAAATGGAGGCCCTTTCCCTCCACCTGGTTTAATGAATTAACGTTTCACTCTGCCTTCATTTCCACAAACAAAAGGCACCTTGTTTGTAGCTCCTAAGCTACAGCTTATAAAAATGCCTTTGCCGGTTAGTCGTCGTTGCTTTCTTCGTTACAAGCTGTCAGGCTCCCTCTGGCTGAATCAGGTGAAAATAACAAGAAGTAAATTCTTTAGATATTAACGAAAATAAAATACAGATAGTCCTCGACTTACAACGGTTCAGAGTTACAGTGAAGCTGAAAAAAAGTGCCTTGTGACGGGTGCCCCTCACACTTATGACAGGATCCTGGCAGGGTCCTCCTCCCCACTTGCCCCAAAACCCAACAAAATACACATTTCTGAAGTTCTTGAGAAGGTCAGGAGGCCCATCCTTTCCAAAGGTCACCAATCTCTGAGGGAATGCAAGATGTGAACCAGGTTGCTTTTCCTTCATTTGTATGTCTTCTTTTTTTTTTTCTCCATCTTTTTGTCTTGGTAGTTTTAAGAACTTTGATGTGGAGGACTCTCCCAAATGTTCCATAGACTGGTTGATGATGGGTCCTTCTTCCAAAGGGGAGGAATACAAAGTCTGTGGATCTTTTATCCCTCCTTCGTTCATCTCTGCCAGGGACCACATCTGGATCTTTTTCCACTCAGATCCATCAAGTTCAGGGCAGGCTCAGGGATTCCGCCTTTCTTACATTCGAGGTAAAATCTCCTCTGTTGATTCGTTCCATTTCTGGCTATCATGTCTGTGGGAGAGATTAATTCCATTTCACCCTTGCAAGGCTACCGGGGCAGGCTTTCCGATTAAGAGAGGACAATGAACCGGAATAAGCTAGCATGCCTTAGAGTAAACCAGAAATAAACTCACATCTCTTGGATCCATGCCCAACACAATTCTCACTGTGACCCAGTTCGCACTGCGATGTGCGTGTGTCTTGATTTTGGCTCAGCATGTTGCATGAATATAAACGGCCCCGAAGGTTTGCAGACCAGGTTTATGGCTTCCTCCATTACATGAACTCAACCCATCATTTTTGTTCAACAAATATCGACCGACCATGGCTTAATGTGATGTGTGAACCCAGCCCTAATCCTGGCTTCTTTCGTGCCTTTTGTCAAGTCCTGTGGGTGATGTCCTGTAAAACAAAGCTATAAAGTGATTTATGAGTAGAACGTTCTGCAAGTTAAGAGATAGAACTGAGCTGCATGGAGCAAGTTGGAAGCTGAAGGTTTCGTTTGCCAAGATAGAGCCTCACTGTTGTGTTATGTTGCTGTGTTTGTGAGACTGACCCTCGTTTGTCTCTTCACAAGGATGCTGCTAGTGGAGAGACCAGCGAACAATATTGGGCTATAGTTTAGTTGTGGAAAGTTTTAAACAGATGAAAGAAGGCAACAGCAAACTTGTTTTGTTGGCAAGAAGCCTGCTTAGATGTGTCTATCGAGCACTTAGTTCAGGTGAAACGTTACCTTTAATATCAGGACAGCAACCAGAGGTCACTCCATACTTACACTCCATGTAGTCCATACCCTTTATAGCTTTAATCCCACTTTAGGCATGAAAACCAGCTGGTTGAGTTTGGGCCAATCACCAGGAGACTGGGAGTTCTAGTCCCGCCTTAGGCATGAAAGCAATCTGGTAAAATTTGGGCCAATCACCAGGAGACTGGGAGTTCTAGTCCCGCCTTAGGCATGAAAGCAATCTGGTAAAATTTGGGCCAATCACCAGGAGACTGGGAGGTCTAGTCCCACCTTAGGTATGAAAGCCATCTGGTTGAGTTTGGGCCGATCACCAGGAGACTGGGAGTTCTAGTCCCGCCTTAGGCATGAAAGCCATCTGGTTGAGTTTGGGCCAATCACCAGGAGACTGGGAGTTCTAGTCCTGCCTTAGGCATGAAAGCCATCTGGTTGAGTTTGGGCCAATCACCAGGAGACTGGGAGTTCTAGTCCCGCCTTAGGCATGAAAACCCACAGGGTGGTTGTTGTGGACAAAATAGGAAGAAGGCGCATTAAGTACGTTCTTTGCCTTGAGTTACTTACAAAGTAAAAAAAAGGCAGGATAAGATTCTAATACACAGATAAATAACTAACGCTTGCAGCAGAAGTTTCTAACTCTTCTCCCTTACTTCGCAGGAAGGATTGGCCAAGCCAGCTGCCAGTCGGATGAATTCCACTGTCTCAATGGCAAATGCATCCCCACCACTTGGAAATGCAATTCCATGGACGAATGTGGCGATAATTCCGACGAGAAAAACTGCAGCCTCCCCCCATCGGAGCCCCAGTCCAACGTCTGCCCTTCGGGGACGTTCCAGTGCAACTTCGCCCATTCCACCAAGTGCTTGCTGAACGAGCTGAAATGCAACACCGTGAAGGACTGCAGCGACGGCTCCGACGAAGAGAACTGCCCCGATCTCTCCTGCGGCAAAAAGCTGAGCAATTTCTACGGGTCGTTTGCGTCGCCAGATTTGTTCCGCCTGGACCGGAGTCGGGCCGACCTCTGTTGCACGTGGCGGGTGGACACCCAAGATAACCGCCACGTTCTTCTGCAGCTCAGCTTGCAGCTGGGCTACAAGGATTACGTGAAGGTGTACGATGGCTTAGAGGAGAAAGCGGACAGGCTGATGGAGACGCTCTCGTATCGGAATAACAAGCACTCGGTCAGCCTGGAGTCCCCCAAGGGGCAGATGACCATCTTGTACTACGCCTGGTCGAAAAGCACCGGCCACGGGTTCAATGCAACGTATCAGGTCAAAGGGTACTGCCTTCCATGGGAGCACCCGTGTGGGGACGATGAGGAGTGTTACTCCGATAAGCAGCACTGCGACGGGTGGTGGCATTGCGCCAACGGCAAGGACGAGGAGAACTGTCCGGCTTGTCAGAAGAACGAGTACCCCTGCGAGGGCAACAGCGGCTTGTGCTACTCCTTGCTCGACCGGTGCAACAACCAGAAGAACTGCCCCAACGGGTCGGATGAGAAGAACTGTTTTGTCTGCCAGCCGGGGAACTTCCACTGCGGCACCAACCTCTGCATTTTTGAGACCTGGCGTTGTGACGGACAGGAGGATTGCCAGGATGGCAGCGATGAGCACAACTGCTTGGTGATCGTGCCGCGGAAGGTCATCACGGCTGCGCTGATCGGGAGCCTGGTCTGTGGGCTGTTGTTGGTGATCGCCTTGGGTTGCGCCTTCAAGCTCTACTCACTGAGGAGCAGGGAATACCGGTGAGAGGATGCTGTTAGGACTGCTTTTAAGCGGGAGAGGAGGACGGGGAGGAGGAGGAGGCCAAATCTTGAAAAATGAAATACAGGCAGTCCTCAACTTGTTTAGTGACCATTGGAAGTTACAGTGGAACTGAAAAAAGGGACTTATGACCATTTTTCACACTTATGACCATTGCGGCATCCCCATGGTCATGTGATCAAAATGGGCAACTGGCATGTATTTATGAGGTTTGCAGTATCTTGGGGGACCTCGTGATCACCCTTTGTAACCTTGCCAGCCGGCTGCTGACAAGCAAAGTCAGTGGGGGAAGTCAGGTTCCCTTTATGACTATGTGATCCACTTAACAACTGCAGTGATTCACTTAACAACCATGGCCCAAAAAAAGAGGATAAAATGGAGCTGTGAATCACTTAAGAACTGCCTTGTTGGGCTCAATTTTGCTGGTGGGTTAGGGTTAGGGTTGCTCACTAAGCGATTTGTTGTAAGTCAAGGACTGCCTGTAGATGCAAAGAAGGAGGAAGTGACCCACCCTGTCCGCGCTGATGTTACCCGGTCAGTTTCTCTCCTTTTTCCCTCATTCCTCTTTTGATCCTGATTCCAGGGCCTTCGAAACTCAGATGACGCGCCTGGAGGCAGAGTTTGTAAGGCGTGAAGCTCCTCCTTCTTACGGGCAACTGATTGCACAAGGCCTCATCCCTCCCGTGGAAGACTTTCCCGTTTATAACGCATCACAGGTAAGGGATTCTCTCTGGAGCCATCTCCCCAGTCCTTGCGATGCGAGTCAAGAGTGAAATGGATACGTCCTTCCTTTTCTAACCATAGAGTCATGGTTAGAAGTCTAAAAGATGCTTCTGACTTGTCCCAAAGGTGCTTTTTCACGAGGCAACTGGACTTTTTTGGTTTTCCACTCTCATCCAAGAAGCTTCTTCAGCTCTGACTGGATGGTGGGGAATGGAAGGATTTATACTCCATTCCCCACCATCCAGTCAGAGCTGAAGAAGCTTCTTGGATGAGAAGTGAAATGTCTTCAAAGAAAAACAAGGAAGTCCAGTTGCTGCCTAAAAAAAACTTTTGGAGCAACCATGACCTGGGTGATGGAGAATCTGTATAGACCTCCTTCTTACTTGAAACATTTTTCCAGTGTGATTCTCCTCCGAGCTACGTTCTAAGTTTGACTTGCTTGGTTTAGGCCAGGGGTAAGCAACCTTGGCTCTTTTATGACTGGTGGACTTCAACTCCCAGAATTCCTGAGCCGGCATGGCTCAGCTTGGAAACCTCTCCCTTTTCCCTCAGCATGGCTGGCTCAGGAATTCTGGGAGTTGAAGTCCACGAGTCATAAAAGAGCCAAAGTTGCCTACCCCTGGTTTAGGTGAATCCTGTGCTGTAAGAACCCAACTTTGTGATATGTGGTATGCTTGTCCCTCAAGTGAGAACTCTGCATTGATTAATTTGATGATTCCTTGATTTGTTTTCTTGGCGGTCCACAGTACAGGTAGTCCTTGACTTACAATCCTTCGTTTAGTGACCGTTCAAAGTTACAACGGCACTGAAAAAAGTGACTTATGACCATTTTTCACACTTAAACCGTTGCAGAATCCCCACAATCACGTGATCAAAATTCAGACACTTGGCAACTGTCTCATATTTATGACGGTTGCGGTGTCCCGGGGTCACATCATCCCCTTTTGTGACCTCCTGACAAGCAAAGCCAAGGCGGAAGCCGGATTCACTTAACAACCTTGTGACTGACTTGACAGCTACAACGATTCACTTAACAACTGTGACAAGAAAGGTGATAAAATGGGGCAAAACTCACTTAGCAACTGCCTCGCTTTGCCACAGAAATTTCGGGCTCAGTTGTGGCCGTACGTCGAGGCCTGTCTGTAAGTCAGACGCTTGCAAACCCTTAGAGCAGGGGTGGGGAACAATGTCCCCTTTATGACTTGTGGACTTCAACTCCCAGAATTCCTCAGCCAGCCATGGCTGGCTGAGGAATTCTGGGAGTTGAAGTCCACAAGTCATAAAGGGGACCGTCCTTCCCCACCTCTGCCTTGAAGTTTTGATGAAATTGACCAGGGGAAATATGCGGGTTATTTGTCTTTTCAGGCTTCCATGCTGCAGAACATCCGAACGGCCATGAGGCGGCAAATGAGGCGCCATTCCTCAAGGCGTAGCTCTTCTCGCCAGCGTTTGGGCAGACTCTGGAACAGATTCTTTCATAGGCCCCGAGCGAGAGGAGGCCAGGTTCCACTTTTGCAACCTGCCCGTACCTCCCAGACGGTCCTGGGCGACGGGATCCTCAACTGTACAGACGGGATGCCTGCCGAGAGTCTCCCCGCTACTCCTGAAGGCGCTTGTGGCCCACCTGGAGGGCTTTCCGAGCCTGGGAACAGTCCCTTGGCCTTGGAGGCAGAAGCAGCAGAAGGCCCGTCCGCTGGGGAGAGCGTGCCAAGCCCTTTCCCAGCTGCTCTGCCGGACGCTGAGGGCGAGCACAGCTGCAAGGCCGAAGAAGCCCCCGAGGGCAGACTCGCACAAGCCGGCAAGGCAGATTCAGGAAGAACATTTAGGGACCCCTTGCTGGAACGAGTGACAGAAATTCACCAGCGCGACAGGCTGGCATGTGGCAGGACAGCTGGAGAGGGTAGACCGTCTCAGCGGGATCAGCCGCAGAGGGAAGAGCCGCATCACCCAATGCCCTTAAAAAACTGGGAGTCTGGGTACCCTGAAGGCCACGGAGCCGTCCCTTTTTGGGAGGAACGCCAGCCCGGTGGTGACCCGCACTCATGTCACGAAGAACCTTTTGGCATTCACCCGATTTGTTGCCATTCCATGCAAGTGCCAATAGCCCCCTCCCCTCTCCCTGCCCCAGAAGTCAGTCCCAGCGATGACGAGTCTTTGCTGGTGTGCTAAAGGGTCACGTTCACAGGCAGAAGCCCACCATAACCTTGCGTGCACCACGACCAGGCAAATAGCGCAGGTCCCGTAACCCACGTCCTAGCTGCAGTGACACCACGGTGCACGTCACCTCGCTAGCTCCACCATGCGCGTGCCGCGGGAGGATACCCCCCCTCACCTACACCTCCCCCTCTCCTTTGTCTCTTTCTTTACAGCATGTCTATCTTAGCAAAGAATAGCTTATAGACAGCCAGGGAAAAAGAGTGCTATAGTCTCTCTCTCTCTTCTCCTCGTTCAGTTCCATGATGCGCTGAGGATAGATACAACGGTTGTCTGCCTCTAAGAAATAAGGAGGATGACAAGAGGTAGGCTAGATCTGTTACCAAAGCAACGAGAGAAGCCGCATGGCTTGAGTTCAAAGCAAGCAGGAAACATGCAGAACTGTCTCAGACACTTTCCTAATTCTCCTGGGTAGAAGAAGCAGGGGGAACGTCCAGCAGAATCAGACTTGCAAGGTTCCGTTACTATAGCCAGTCTCAATTAAAAAAAATAGTTTTAGCGTTCCCATGGAGTTGATTCCTTATCTGGATTACCTGATGGGTTTAACGCTGCCTGGGTGGCTTCATGTGATGTGCAAAAAGCTGTTCAGACCATTGCTTGGGTTTGGATGGAGTACTATGGGTGAACCAGTTGTGATTTATTCAATAGGCCATGCTTAAGCCAGCTTTTAAGTATTAAGAGCTGGAAGCTTGACAACCCCACCCTTGCCCCTCTTGGATCATTTGACTGTGTATTTGTGGCTAAAGAGTGGATATGCACAAAGTTTACTGAGGTTGCCCTTTTGTCCGTTGGTTGCTTTGAATGCAAGGCTGGGTGTGATACCCTCGAATAAGTAAGCATATCCATAAGTAAAGAGAAGCCACACATGGCCCACGTTGACGTGTTTCTTGCTGCCAAGAAAAAGGTCACTCAAGTCTCTCTCTTTTCTAGATCATCAAAACGTGAACCCCTGGTCCATCTAGTTCAACAGTCTGTTGTCACATTGACCAGCCAATTGACCAGGGAAGTCCACTAATCTCCTAGCACAGTGATGGCGAACCTTTTAGAGACCGAGTGCTCAAACTGCAAACCAAAACCCACTTATTTATCGCAAAGTGCCAGGGCTGCATCAGCATTGTGGTGCCCTTGGGCGTGGCCCACTGGGTGTGCACGGCAGACTGGGTGAGCGTGGCCGGGGCCAGGGTGGCAGGGGCCAGTCCCTCGCCATCTCCGGGGCATCCCAGGGGGGCCAATGCCGCTTGCTCGCTCACTTCCTGCCCTGTCGCTTCCAAATGCCACGTGCTCGCTACTCTGGTGAACTCTGCTGGGGCAATGGCACGCGTGCCCACAGAGAGGGCTCTGAATGCCGCCTCTGGCACGCGTGCCATAGGTTCGCCACCACTGTCCTAGCAGATGGCCTTCAGAGGTAGCTCCACTGCTATCAAGGCTAATAGTTATTGATCCTCAACACTTCCATGAATTGGTTCAACCCTTTTTTGAAGCCACCCAAGCATCACCTCTTCTGACAGTTGCTGCAATTCTTCCACTATTTTCATTATTGGGGACTTCTTTGTCCCTTGACTTCCCAATCTGCACATGCTCTCCAGGGAAAGAAATCACTCAGAGTGATTCCCTCTGCAGGTTCACGGAAGTAAACCCAACCCAACACAGCTCCTCTGCCTTTTGAGTGTAAGTTGTGGGTGCTATGGAGATAACCCTCCTCTACCCTCTTTTGTTTGTACCTGTCTGTAAAATGGGTCCCCTCTGCTCCTAGAGATGTGAGCTTTTCTACGATCTGTTCAGAAGCTGTAGGAGACATGGCTGGCTGACAGGGCTAACGCAGGGCCTGTGCTGTTATTACTGGGACTGCTTAAGTGAAAATTCCAATTATTGCCAATTTGTAATATTGGTCTACACTGGATAAAATGTGTGATGGGAAACTGAGCCCTTGGAGCTGCATTTCTTTTATTTCTTAAAAAAAATAAAATAAAAATAAAGCTTCACCCACTCATTTGTTTGTTCCTTTCGTGACAAGAAGTCAAGAAATGTCCAAGACTGTCAATGGTTCTGTCTGGTACATAAACAGAAGATTGTTTTATTGGCTGCTAGGCCACTAGAATAACAAGCCAACTTTTTGAGATAGTAAGTCGGATCTTAAGTCTCATTCAAGTAGCAATTGCAGTGTTGGGTGTGATGCTTCCATTTTTCAATTTCGCCATTTTAATCTTGTATCTTGTATCCCCTTCTCTGATTTTTTGAGAAGAGGCCAATTTAAAATGTTGAGAAGGTTTAAAGCATTTCTGGTTTTGCCTTTGAGTTCTGTGAACTGTCTTAATGAGGTTTTTCTGGTGTTCATCAGAGAAAAACTCAGCAAATGCAAGGATGCTGATCTTTAAATTGTTTATCCTGTAAATTTGTGCTCTCTCTCTCTCTCTCTCTTTTTCATGCACTAATGGACAGTTGCAAACTGTCAACTTTTGCCTTCTTCCCCAAGGTACAAAATTGGAGGCTTCATAGCCTGTATACTATGTGTAGAATCCTTGGACGCCAAGCCCCCCAGGGGTCTTCAAAAGTAATTCTTGATGGAGAAAATAACTACACAAAAGATGGAGAAAATAACTACACAAAAAGAGAAAAGCAGGGGTGGGATTCAGCCAGTTCGCACCACTTCGGCAGAACCGGTAGCTAATTTTTTGTTGCCCAGACCCAGAACGGACTTCCGGAAGCGGCATCCACACAGAGAACCGGTTGTTCACATATTTGAATCCCACCACTGCAGAAAAGGTTTAGTAATGTTTTTCAGGTACTGGATATATTGTACAATTTTGCATGGCGATATGGGCATATCATGCCGTGATGATGGTAATTTAAAAATTGCCAGAAGCTGGCAAAAGGACAAACTGTGTAATCCTTCTCTTCTTTAAACTAGGCACACCCAGTTCCTGCAATCATTCATCGTATGGTTTAGCCTCCAGCCCCCTCATCCTCTTTGTTGCTCTTCTCTGCGCTCTTTCAAAAGTCCCAACTTCTTTTTTTTTATATCATGGTGGTACAATTGGACATAGTATTCCAAGTGTGGCCTCACTAGTGCAACGTGGTACTCTGTACTGTGGTATGAAGTACTTCAGTGGTTCTCAACCTGTGGTCCATAGACCCGGGGGGGGGGGCGTTGTCATCACAGGGGGTCCCCGAAGGCTTGAAGAACTGTTAGTTTAAATCTTGAGTTACGTCTTGGTGGTCCGGGGCCACAAAAGCTATTTAAAGGGGGTCCGTAGTGAAAAAAACGTTGAGAACCACTGAGGCATTGTATAAAGCAGTAATAACCAGCCACGGCGTTGCCTTAAAGATGTGTTTGATTTTCAGAGGCAGAGTAAGAAGAGAGGTCCTCCATTTGAAACTTGGCAGAAGCTTTACAACAGTGTTTATGAGTTTCAAAACAGGTGGTTGGTAGCAACATTTTTTATACCAGGTAATCTCAACTCGCACATAAAATGCATCACGAAAAACAACCCACTAGCTCGTTTTATTTTTATTTTCCTCCTTTTCAGGGGGAAAAAAAGAGCTAAACACATTTAGGTGTCTCCTAGAGTTTTCCAAATGACGGTCCTCATTTCTTTAAAAAAAAAATCCAAAAAACCCCAAATCAAGGTTCTTTCCTCCCCCAGCGGGAAAAAAAAAATGCCATAATGTAAACAAAATCTACTTATTATGTAAAAAGTATAATTGTTTTTTTAAGGTCTTTTGACTTCTTGAGAGGGATAATCGGTGAAAGGTAGATCATCTTCAGAAGATTCCTTCTGAGGATAGACAACAAAACAGATCTTCTGGCCCCAGTGGGTTAAAGATTCTGAAAAAAAGATCAAAGAGCTAGGTTATCATTCTATTTTTGAGACTAGAGCGGGCATTATTAACTGGGAAGGCATTTGAACTCAACAGAGGAATAACACAATAACAGTTGAAAGGGACCTTGGAGGTCTTCTAGTCCAGGCAAGAAACCTTATAACATTGCAGACAAATGATTGTCCAATCTCCTCTTAAAAGCTTCCAGTGATGGAGCACCCCAACTTCTGAAAGCAATTTGTTCCACTGATTAATTGTTCTCACTGTTAGGAAATTTCTCCTTAGTTCTAGGTTGCTTCTCTCCTTGATTAGTCTCCATCCGTTGCTTCTTGTCCTGCCTTCTGGTGCTTTGAAGAATAGGTTGACTCCCTCTTCTTTGTGGCAGGCCCTCAAATATTGGAACACGGCTATAGTGACACCCCTAGTCCTTCTTTTCAACATCTGCTTTGCATACAGAGGATCCAAGATTTCAGTCCCATGCCTAAAATGTAAGATTAGACATTTGGGCCTGGCCCAAATTTTAATCCAGCATTTTGTTTCTCCCAGATTGCTCTTGACTATGTGAGAAATGGAGACCTCTCTCTCTTCCACCAATCTCCTCAAAAGTAGCTTTTGGACTGATGTGGCCACAACGTGCACATGAACTTTGAAGGCCCATAAGTCTTAATAAGCAGGTCCTTCATCAATTTATAAACTTCTCTGATTAGGATAATCAGGTGATGAGATGGCTCTTTCCTTTCTGACCTTGTCTAAGGCAGATTTCTGCACACCTGTAATAGTAGTCATATGAGGAGCTACCTGGGCAACAAACCTTGAGTTAATGAGTGGATTATCTTGTAATCAATAGGTCTACTGCAGGGGTTCAAACTCAATTTCACTGAGGGCCGCATCAGCATTACGGTTGCCCTGGGGGGGGCAGGTGGGTGTGGCCAGAGTGGGTGCAGCCTACTGGGTGGGCGTGGATGGAGTGGGTGTGGCCTACTGGGTGGGCGTGGCCAGTTCTACATCATTCGCATCAAGGGTGCCCATGGGGAGGCTGGGCAGGAGTGGGACAGATCTGAGGGTCTCTGGCAGAAGGGGGTGGGACTGGGGCAAGTGCCAAGGCATGGTCCGCCGGGGCAAGTGCCAAAATGGCCACCACAAAATTGTACATTGGCTCCCGGCTGGCCTGGGCCAGGGCCAAGGCAGTGGGGGCCGTTCCCTCACTGTTTCCAGGATGGCTTCGCGGGCCACATGAAATCACTTCGCGGGCCGCATCCGGCCCCCGGGCCTTGTGTTTGACATGTCTGGTCTACTGGATGCTGCCTCCAAGGCTGTTTTCTTTTTTTTTCTTACCTGTTATTCTATTTACACACTTTGGTTTGTTTTTCCAGTACACTCCAAGAAAAAACACTGGCACTCCAGTAAAGATGATAACCAGTCCAATGCCACAGACCACTGGCTCAGAATATAAACTGAAGATTAAGAGAAAGGCCCAAAAGATCAGGTAAGTGATTGGAACCAGGAGGTTTACCTAAGAGGAAAGAAAATATTGGAAGGGTACAGAGAGTTGTCGTTTCTGCCCTAATTCCCTTTGTGCTGATAGACACCATTGGACCATCACTACGGACTCAGCTAGATCACCAGAAGCTTCTGCCTTGGCAAATCCAAAGGCCACACCACTAGACAACACCCTCCCCCACATTGATACCCTTGGCCAATGTGGCCACAAGCATGTAGATCTGGAGATGATGGAGACTGTAGTCCTACTCATAAAGGTCACCAGGATCAGGAACGCAAGCTCATTTCTGTTTTTTCTCAATTCCTGAGCATACCTAACAATCTGGCAGGTACAAGCTGGAGTAATTTGACCTCAGAGCTTCCAAGCTGTTTAACAAGTGATGGTTATAAATGTGAGGATCGGTGGTAAGTTGTTGTTTTTTTCAATGCCGTTCTAACTCCAAACGGTCGCTAAATGAATGCTTCTGCAAAGAGCAGAAGAGGAATCAGACTGCCCCACTATTTTTCACCTTGATGGGTCTGAAGATCTGAGGCTTCTTCCATCGTAGCACAAGCAGGCCTATGATTGTCACTCCGTAGCAGAGGTAGTTGATGAAGGACACATAGTTAATTAAGGTGTAGGTGTCTCCAACCAGCATGATGACCACTGTAGCCAGGCACTGGGGAGGGAGAGAAAAAGGAGGGGGTGCTCTTTAAAGGGAGAATTTCTGGAAAGAAAACGAAGACAAAAACTTCCTCAAGTTAAAAATGCAGACCTCAAAGGAGGATTGGGCGCACAATAAAAGGACTAGGAGAAGCTCACCCAGTCAAATAGCTTAAGCCAGGGGTTTCCAACCTTGGCAACTTTGAGACTTGTGGACTTCAACTCCCAGAATTCCTCAGCCCGCCCAGAATTCCCCAGCCAGCCAGGAGAATTCTGGGACTTGAAGTTCACAAGTCTTAAAGTTGTGAAGGTTGGAAACCCGTGGCTTAAGCTATTGCAAGGATGACAGAGCAACATCTCTCTCTCTCTCTCTCTCTCTCTCTCTCTCTCTCTCTATCTATCTATCTATCTATCTATCTATCTATCTATCTATCTATCTATCTATCTATCGTCAATGTTTTTCTTGTCTTTTTCCCCTTTACCCTACACTCTTCCCCTTCTCCCTCCCCGTTTTCCCAACTATTTTCACTTTCTTTTCTATTTTATATCTTAGCAATAGCAATAGCACTTAGATTTACATATCGCTTCACAGTGCTTTACAGCCCTCTCTAAGTGATTTACAGAGTCAGCCCCCAACTATCTGGGTCTTCATTTTACCGACCTCGGAAGGATGGAAGGCTGAGTCAACCTTGGGCTGGTCAGGATTGAACTGCTGGCAGCCAACAGTCAGCAGAAGTAGCCTGCAGTACTGCATTCTAACCAATGCGTCACCACGTCTTGATAATAACATTAATAAAGGAAACCAAAATATGACTGGACAGCATACAATAATAAATTGCTATTTATAAGATTAGCTGCCAGTGGAGTCCTGTACTATTTCTTGATTGTTTATGTCCACTCTCTCTTTCATTCTTTCCCCAGCTACTTCGGGATCGCTTGGCTTTCAACATCTTGGGTATGTTTAGTTTAATGAAGAGAAGGACGAGGGGGGACATGATAGCAGTTTTCCAATATCTCAAGGGCTGCCCCAAAGAAGAGGGAGTCAAGCTATTCTCCAAGGCGCCTGAAGGCAGGACAAGAAGCAACGGATGGAAACTAACCAAAGAGAGAAGCAACCTAGAACTAAGGAGAAACTTCCTGACAGTTAGAACAATTAACCAGTGGAACAACCTGCCTCCAGAAGCGGTGAATGCTCCAACCCTGGAAGTTTTTAAGAAGAAACTGGACAGCCATTTGTCTGAAATGGTATAGGGTTTCCTGCCTGAGCAGGGGGTTGGACTAGATGACCTCCAAGGTCCCTTCCAACTTTTATTATTATTATTATTATTATTATTATTATTATTATTATTATTATTATTATTATTATTATTATTAATTATCTGCAACCTGAAGCTGCCTCTTCATTCTATCTAGTGATTTTGGTTGCACTAGAACAGGGGTTCCCAACTGGGGGTGCAAGACAATATTCCAAGGGGTGCGAAAACGGGTTTTCAAAATTATAGCGTATATGCATAATTTGTTGCCGTTATTTTGAATTTTTGTAAGGGGTGCAAGAATATATCAGAAGTGTTCTAGGGATGCGGGATATAGAAAAGATTGGGAACAGTTGCACTAGAGTAATACAACTACACTTTGGCTACTACTGAGCTCAATGAGGCTGATCTTACAAGATGTATTTGGTATTCAGTTAAATCAAAAGCATTTTGATTAGCTACGTTAACCAATTCTACAGGAACCGAAACACCTACGCAGACAAGGAGAGCCGGAATTGGGGTGCAGTGTTTGACATGGATCATGGCCAAGAGACTTGGTAAGTGACCTTCTCGGGCACCAGAGAAACACAGCCTAGAAAAAGAGAAGCAGAAGAGAAAAAAACACTCCTAAGCCTGTTTTATTTTAGGCCCTTTCAACAAACACATAGTTTAACTTTCTTAGTGGAAGATACTGAAACTGGTGGAAGATACTGAAACCCAATGGGGAATATTTAATACTTGGGGGGAAAACGATTCAGCCTGTTACTTAACAGTGGCAAGTGACAAAAATGGGTATTTCACACCTCCAGTGTTCTGCTTAGAGGGACATTTTCTTACCACATTCTGATATTTTCCAGATATGATGGATTTCAGCTTTGGGTAGCCACTGTTTCATGGATAAAGTGGAAGAGGAGAACATAGATGTTGGCTTAATATACTTTAAAACATTGGGATGAGTAAGGAGGAGAAGAAAAGTCAATGATTTCTAGATGGTTCTCAGTCGTGTGATATTTCTCCCAGGTTTGTAGAATTTCTGGACCCCCTTCCCCTGTTTTATATTCACAAACTCTCTGATACAATTTCTACCAAGAATGGTTAGTCCAAAATCCAAGCCCCAAGAATGAATGAATGGGATTTGAGTGTTCAGTCATGGGCATCTGTTAAAAACCACAGTGATGTCACATGATATGATTGAGATGAATTATAAAATCCACATAATTGGTGATATGATATGATGTGTTGTACATGATATCACTCAGACCTGCTCTGCATGCTCATAAGATTAATATTCTATTACACTAAGTGTTTTCAAAAGAAGTGGATCAAAACAAAATTAAAATCTAATCAAACATGCTGATCCAACAGTTGCCCCAAAGATTTTGCTCTGAACAGTTCACACAAACAGTACCACTCTCCTGTTCATGTTAGCACAATTACTAGCCAATTGGTAATGTATATTACCTCTGATTCTGAATAGATAGCCATTCACCGGCTGCTCATCTCCTCATACTATGTTGATTATTAGCTGATGACGATCTTAACCTCCTTAAATTTGTCAAATTTCTTTTTAAAATGGCTCCAAACTTTTGGCATCACCTTATCGGGACAGCACACGCAATCTTACATTTATATTGTCCTAACATCAACTGCAGAATTAGCTCCATAGGGACTACTTGCAACTTGATGGCAGAACATGAACATGGCAACTTGCATGGCTAACTAAGTATATTAAGAGTGCCATGTCCCAAAACTCTGTTCAGCATGAAACACACCAGAACATTCCAGCTAGGAAAGCAGAGATGTTTTTCCCCTCCCTCTTCCCAAAATAAATAAACAAATAAATAAAAATGCTCAGGAAAAAATAAGCAAACAAATAAATCGTACTTTATCTAACCTTGAGGAGGTAAAAAGGTATCCATTTATTCCTCCAAATGTAGACAATGCCACAGACACTGGCATAACCCAGGAGAAATAGCCCAGTAACTTCTCACCAAATGTCTAAAGCAACAAAAGGCAGGAGGAGGGATGGAAACGAAACATAAATTGCAATGCACCAAACAAAAAGCAGAATGATTCCCTTCAACGAATCCCAACCTCAAGTCAAATCCCCAGGGGATGTTTTACTTACTACCGCCACAGCATTGGAAGACAGGAGTTCTTGGGGTGACATGGCCGTGAAATAAGCAATATTGGTGAAGGTGTATACAAAGGTCACCAGGGGAATGGAGATGAATATGGCACGGGGTAGATTCCTAATTTCCAAAACAAAAACGAAGGGGGGGGGGACTTGATAAGCATTGATAAGCATGGCCCGAGAAGCAAAACCCAACATGGACATGGATTACGGTCAACAGGCAAAATAGGTATAATGTGAACAAATTGTATGCAACAGTAAGTTGCATGAACGTTAAGCTAAATCACATCCACCATGTACATGCAGAAAAAGGTGAACAGCCAGAGCGCAGATTGGCATCCTTATAGGACAATTTCTATCTCCTCTTTCTGATTCTGATGCTGATGCAGCTCAGTGGATGGCCAACAGTTGGTAAAATCAGTAAATATGTTACCATGGTTGATCATATTCCCTAGAAGCCTGAAAGTTGGGCAATTTTAAGGTGCCAGTCTGATTAAGTATAATGAACATTGAAAACCCAGATGCTGAACATTTGTCTTGGTTAGAAGTTAGCAGAACAGGCTTGTTCTTAGCAGCACGATTCCCTGCCCAGCTATTCTAAGCCAGGCATGTCCATCCGTGGCAATTTTAAGACTTGTGGACTTCTATTCCCAGACTTTAATGTGAACTGTGGATTTCAACTAGCAACTTTAAAACCGGTGGACTTCCAACTCCCCAAAGTCCCCAGCCAGCCATGTTGGGTTGTACTTGAAGTACACAGGTCTTAAAATTGCCAAGGTTGGACACCCCTGTTCTAAGCCTTCCCGTCTTGTCTACTTCTTCCCTCTCTTCCTATTGGTATCATCTCACCTTCTTTCCTCAAGCCATAAGGAAACCAATCACTGGGATCCAAGGATGCAGTAGGACAATAGTTTGGCCAAACCTTGACCCAAAGTGCGTAGAAACACTTACCTGCGTGGCTCAACCAGTTCTTCTGTCACATAATTTAGGAAATTCCACCCACTGAATGCAAAAGAGCCTTGGAGAAAGGCTAGCGCCAAATGTCCCACAGACGGGGTCATCCAGAAGGTGAATGCATTGTTTGGTATTAACGGTTCATAGTTTCCTATAAGGAGAGCAGACTTTAGTGAGGGCATCGCCAGTTCACACAAACACATCATGTACTGTAAGGTCAAAGAAAATCAAGATGGCAGCTGGTCCTGTGTGATTGAGGTCCCATCCCTTTTTAATGTAGATCACATGAAAAAAGGAAGGGGTTCACATAATGGAGCCCCGGCTATCCTGTTGAGTTTTTGATTCTAGCACACAGAAAAGTGAGGGAATGACTACAAGAGAAGGCACCATTATTGCCTCTGGACACAACCATTTTTCATCTTCCCTTTTAAACAAGGAACTCTTGAAGAGCCTTTCTCACTGCTGGAGAAAGGAGAAACATCTGGAGAAGCATCACAAAAGAAGATGGCTTCCTTTCTCCAGTGATGAAAAGCACTACTCACTTTTTCTAACCTCCCTCTGTTTTTTTCTAGAGCAAAACTCTCTGGAATCAAATCATTTGGGGGGGAAAACCCTCTTTAAAATAAAACTTTTATGCCCCGTAGTCAATTCAAGTCTCTTGGCAATCCTAGTTGCACGATGCCTTCTACTTCTTCCCTTCTTCCTGTCATTCTTTCCTCTACCCTCATTTTTACTCTTGTTGAGCCAAATTAAACATCCATGTTCTTTGCAACATGTTGGTGACAATATAAAAGTGGTTTTCCTCTTTTCACTTCCTAGTCTAGTCCATCACCCTGGGGTTGATGGTGAGTTTCCATCAAGCAACAATCTTAGATCCAACTTAGCCCTTCCAAGACCAGCTAAAGTCAGGGAGATGCTGTCATAGCCTCCAAAAAACTGTTTATGGGGATTCTCCGTCATCCAGGTCATGGTTGTCCCAAAGGTGCCTTTTTCAAAAGGCAACTGGACTTTGTTTTCCCATGAAGATGTTTCGCTTCTCATCCAAGAAGCTTCTTCACAGAACTGAAGAAGCTTCTTGGATGAGAAGCGAAACATCTTCATGGGAAAACAAAGTCCAGTTGCCTTTTGAAAAAAGCACCTTTGGGACATCCTCCAAAAAGCTATTTTATCAAACGGTGTGACCTTTTACATCACCCAATTGTCCTGTCCCTTTTGTGGAAATGAAGGTAGAATGATCAGCAGACATAAATTGCTCCCAACAGTTGATTACACATGAAATTCACTGCCCAAGGCATGCCTTGGAGCCCACCATGAAGCTGATCACAGATGTTTTCAAATATCACTCACTAGAAAAACAGTGGGATGCGGGAGTTTTCTAAATAGTGTTGAATTTCATGCAGAAGACCATTTAAACACCAGGGTTTTTGCATCAGTACCTTTGAAGATTTGCACAAAGCCCACAGTTATGATAAGACCCAAAGCCAGGAGTTTTCCTGCTGTGAAGATGTCCTGGATTCGTGTGGCCCACCGAACGCTGGAGCTGTTCACCCAAGTCAACAGTGCTAGAGATCAGAAAGCAGAGTTCAGTTCCTCAAAATGGAAAGCAAAAACGGGGGGATCTGCAGGGAGGAGTAAAAAAAAAAAAAGTCAAGATGGCAGCTACAGCTACATGGTTGAAACCCCGCCCTTTATGTAAATACATGTAAATAGGGAGGGTGGTTTTGGTCCCACAGCCACAGTTGCCACCATGATTTTTTTTTTTACTCCCCTGCAAATACATCTCAGCAAAAGCCACATCAATGTGCAGGCTTGAGCATCACTGTGTATTTCTAATTATGACCTTAACATGATCGCAAAGATAAATAAGGTTTTCCGTATGTCGTGTCATTATGCTTTTCTCCTCCTTTTCCATGGAAATCTTTCAGTTTTGTTCTCTACAAAGGATGTGGCCAATGACATGTCTATCTAATCACGGTGGGTAAGGTCAAACTTGTTAACCTCTTTTGGGAAGCCTGGAAGAACAGATAAAGGGGCCTGTGTGAATAGATATACTTAACCCTCTTTAAGTCCAGTATTCCAAATGGGTCCAGCTACTCCAGGGTTACTTAGTACATTACAAAAGAGCGGCTAGGCTGCCTGCCTGCAGGTCAGGAGAGCACTTTGGAAAATGTTGTAATTTTATCATGAAGTACAAGAGTCTCTTTGTGCTCCCCCCACCCCCCACCCCCGTGGGACGCTGGGAGAGGTGATAAAATATCCACCTTCTATGCCCATCCAGTATCATCCCTGAGAAAGTCCAGTTCAATTCTGAAATGTCACCTTGAAGTACTTGCAGAACAAAAGGCTCCTCTTTCAAGATGCTTCCATCGCCAGGACTTAATAAAAGGTTGTCCCCAACTCAACAACCATTCTTTTAGAGAACATTTGAAGTTATAGGGCACCGAAAATGTGTCTTATGACCATTCCTTGCATTATGACTGTTGCAGCATCCGCATGGTCATAGGATCAAACTCTGGGTGCTTGGCAGGTGTTTACAATGGTTGCCGTGTCCTCAGGTCATGTGACCGCCATCTGCAACCTTTCCAGCCATCTTCTGATGAGCAAAGTTAAGGGTGGGGGATGGGAAGCCTGATTTACTTAACGACAGTGTGATTAACAACTGCAGCGATTCCGGTAACAACCACGTCAAAAAAACATAAAACTGGGCTCGACTCATCAAACAACCATATTGCTTAGCAATGGAAATTTTTGCCCCAGTTGTGATTGCAAGTCAAGGACGACCTGCATACCAACAGGCGGAGGTGTGTTTTGCTTCCCCATTTCAGAGAAAGGCAGGGCTATTGATAGCCCCGAGGCCAATCAGAGTCTTACAAGACAAAGAAAACCGATGATCAATCCATACTTACACAAACACACCATGGAGAGGACTCGTGAAGCTTTGTAGGGTGGGATGCAATTGGGGAAAACTGGCTGTAGCACATAGTTAGAAAAAGTCAGCGCAATGACAGCCAGGCTGGTAGGGTACATGATAAGGACTGCACTCCATAGTAGTAGAAATCTGCAACCAACGGAAACAATTCAAGATCTCTTGGTCAAAACAAGACTGCCGGGCAGAAAAGCATGTATAAGCCAAGTGTTACAGAGAGAGATTTGAGGGGAAAGGAGTAGAAGAGTATCCTGCTTCTCATCTGATTTCAATCTACTCTCTGAAGGAGAAGGGGAGGCAGAGTTAAACAAGTCATCAGCCTAGCATTCTTACGTTCCCACCAAGGATCTAATTCCAACCCCTCTTGAATTCCACTGACTCCTATCTAGATCAATTTAGTGTTGAATTTAGTTGACTAGATTTTTGTGCATAGACCTGAGCAATAACTCTTCTTAACTGCAACTTAGTGTATTGTCGTGATTCTTCATGCCTGACACTGTCGTCCCACTGGCATGGTTAAATGAATATTCCATAAGGCTACTGAAAAATAACACGGCAGAACAACACGTTAGAAACATGTTCTCAAAAGGCATCAGGAAAACATCATTCGCTAAGGACTGAGTAACAGGGATGATCCACTGGAGACCACTGGACTGGGGAGCGAATGGGAGAGGTAATGTAGTGTTGCAACTGCACAGTCAACAACCCATCCCTTTTGCTGCATGTGCCACAATGCTCACAAAAGGAGCAGGGCTTTGGCCCTGCAATTATTACCATATTTTTCCTTGTATAAGACACTATTTTTTTCCTGCAAACACCCTGTTCAAAAATCAGGTGCGTCTTATACACGTGCAGTGTCTTATACATGGAAAAATAATGGTAACCTCCGCAGCCCAAGATGTGCCTGTGTGGGTTGCCATGCCGCCTGGTGCAGGGGTCAAGCCCCTGTGGGCTTGTCACTAACGGGAGGGGGGAGGGGGCAAGATCATCAGCCGCCCGAACTTCCGGATTTGGCGGCTCAGCTGTTTGGCACCGCGATGTAAAAAAGATGTTGAGACTCTAGAAAGAGTGCAGAGAAGAGCAACAAAGATGATTAGGGGCCTGGAGGCTAAAGCATATAAGGAACGGTTGCTGGAATTGGGTATGTCTAGTTTAATGAAGAGAAGGACGAGGGGGGACATGATAGCAGTCTTCCAGTATCTCAGGGGCTGCCACAAAGAAGAGGGAGCCAAGCTATTCTCCAAAGCGCCTGAAGGCAGGACAAGAAACAACGGGTGGAAACTAATCAAGGAGAGAAGCCACCTAGAACTAAGAAGAAACTTCCTGACAGTGAGAACAATTAACCAGTGGAACAACCTGCCTCCAGAAGCAGTGAATGCTCCAACACTGGAAGTTTTTAAGAAGAAACTGGACAGCCATTTGTCCGAAACGGTATAGGGTTACCTGCCTGAGCAGGGGGTTGAACTTGATGACCTCCAAGGTCTTCCAACTTTATTATTATTATAAGATTAAAACTCTGGTCCCATGACCAACCCAGATTGGATCCTGCAACACTATCCTGGGACAGGTATATTTACCTTCATTAATTTATTATTCTGCAAGATGTGAAGCTGAGGGCCAGTAAGTTAGTAGGCTGTTAACAACAACAACAACAACAACAACAACAACAAAAGCTTACATCATTTCACAGAGGATAAATCTGTTAATATTAGTGGAATTTCCTTGTTCAGAAGCAGTAACCCACGAATAATAAATGCAGGGGGTAAACCGCCACTTTCTCATTTATTATTCCTTGAACCTGGATCGAGTCTCCTAATGTTAACATATTTGTCCCCAGGTTACACATTTTCTGAGCTCAGTTACAAATCAGATGGAAACCTTTTCCCATTTTATTAGGGCCCATGTTTCTCTGTACTGCTTCTTTCGAGTTTTGAAAAGATGATTTATATTTTGAAGTGTTTTAAAAGCTGCAGAGCCCGTTTAACTAGGAGCCAATGCTCGGGTACCCCAAGAGCAACTGTAGCTCTCGCTGAAAATAGATTTGAGTCCTTCACGGCAATAAAAACAGGGCCCCGTAAAGAAAGGCAAGATTAAGGGATCTCCCATTTGAATTATGGTTGGCTGAAGGAGGCGTTAATTCCTCCATAAAGCTGAATTTTCAAATGCTGCAGATTTCAGTTTTTATATCTCCATTTAAAACTCTTGATTCGGTCCCTTCCTTTGCTGCAATAAACATGGGTTTCCAGAGCTTTGGAATTTATCAGATGTTGCAGGAATAAAGTCTTCCTTTTTGTAGGCGTTTGTCATTTAATCCTGGAGCTCGCAAGCCACCTTCCCCAAAGGCAATCTGGCTTATTGTGCCCCTATAAATACAAGTTGGCTCCTGCTTATCTATCAGCACAGACCTGCCCTCCCTTCCCCCCAAAATCCAATCTGTATGCAGATGTTTTCTGCTTGTCTGCACAATACCAGCACTCCGACTTTGCTATAGCAATCTTACACAGTCCATCAGTCAGGCATTCAATAAACGTTCTTCCTTTATAAACAGATGGCTGGGGATGCTACTGAATCATGGGCCGTAATAAGTTAGGTTTAAAGCCTGGGTCCTCGGCTGGAGAGCCCTGATCCGGGGGTCCCTCAAAAAGTTGCTGTGAAATTGGAATTTAGGTTTGAAAGAAGAGAGGAAAGGTTCAGATAGTACTGCTCCCCCTTACAGGCGCCTCTACTCAGAGTAAAGGATTGCCAGTTTTTTTGCCATATTATCAGGCACAAAGAATCAGGCCATACATTAAATTGCAGTTCAGAAGCTTTGTTGCTCAAACCTGTACTCTAGAATCTAGTCAACTAAACTTCAGTAGTAGATTTGCACCAGATAAGGGTCAACGGAATTCAAGAGAGGTTGGACTAGGACCATTTGTAGGAACATAATGATTCCAGGCTGGTGACTTACTTAACTCCACCTCTCCACCCAGCTCTGTCAGCTTTTCTCCTACCTATATGAATCTTTTAAGAAAATCAACAGAGGACACAATATAAGACACTGCAATGTATTTATTTCATTTCCACCTTGCCTTTTTTCCTGCAAATCTAAGGTGTGTGTGTGTGTGGGGGGGTCTTCCCTAATTTTGTTCCTATGACAACAACCCCATGAAAGAGATTGTTTGGGGAGGAGATGTTTGAAGCAACCAGTGGATTCCAAGGTCAAATGAGGACTCAATCTCAAGTCAGTTCCTAGTTTTGTATCAGAAATATTACACAGATCTGCTCTGTGGGAAGAACTAATGAAATAAAATTCACGGCTGTGATTTTAGACCCTCATGACAACATTGCTACCCACCCTTATCCTGAAGTCACACTTACCCAGCTAATCCACCGAAAATGTCAGTGACGTAGGAGTAGTCGCCTCCTGATTTAGGGATGGTAACGCCTAATTCAGCGTAACAGAGAGACCCAAGTGCTGAGATACCACCACCAAGTATCCATATTATGAGTGCGAGTCCCACTGACCCAGAATGCTCAAGAACTCCTTTGGGTGAAATAAAGATGCCAGAACCAATAATATTACCTAAAAGAGACAAAAAGGTGAAAAGATATGGTTAATATTCACAATCTGCACCAAAAGGCAGCATCAAATAGACCTTGGCTGACCTTGAAAAATCTGTGCAATACTTGGACAGAAGACCATCTTGGAAGCTGTCAATGACATTTACGTTGCAGCTGAGAAAACAATAACAGATGAAGAACGGTTGCAGGAATTGGGTATGTCTAGTTAAAGAAGGAGTAGAGGTGACATGATAGCAGTGTTCCAATATTTGAGCGGCTGCCACAAAGAAGAGGGGATCAAATTATTCTCCAAAGCACCAGAAGGCAAGGCAAGAAACAATGGATGGAAACTAATCAAGGAGAGAAGCAACTTAGAATTAAGGAGAAATTTCCTAACAGTGAGAACAATTAACTTGTGGAACAGCTTGCCTCCAGAAGTTGTGAATGCTCCACCACTGGAGGTTTTTAAGAAGAGATTGGACAACCAGTTGTCTGAAATGGTATAGGATCTCCTGCTTGAGCAGAGGGATGGACTTGAAGACCTCCAAAGTCCCTTCCAACTTAGTTATTCTGTTAATTCTGTCTTGTGTCATCATCAGCCCTTGAGTTTGACACAAGGGAGGCTCAACTTCCAATTTCACTTCCTTACAGGATTTTGATGGCCAAATTCACATATGACGGCAGGCCAGATTAGTTGAAAAACCTCTAGTGACATGTTCTACCCTCACATATCAAAAAGAAATAAACCCTCTGTGGGTATAGCTATTAAAAAGTTGTCTGCCTCTTAGTGTAATGTGCAGCCTATTATGTTTATCTCATTTTACGGCTGCGTCTGTTCTTGGTCATCATTAGTGCCAACAACAGCCTTCTGAAACTTGGCAACTTCAGATGTCTTAGACATTATCCCAAGCCAATAAAGGATTCTGCTCATTTGCTTGCATGCTCCACGTACGACCCTCAATTATATGCAAGTGTTAGAATTGAATTATTTCCCCTTCAGCGTGTTAGAGATGAGAACAGGATTATGCTGGCGACCTATTCGTCTTTTGCTTAGTCAAGTAAAAAACCAAAGACCATTATTTCTACACTATTTGAAGAAGAATAAACAAATATATGGGACCACCAAGCCATCACTCCCTAAAACTTGAATCCATAAAACTAAAATGTCTAAGAAATCCACATATTAAAGTCATATTTTAAAAAGCTCAAGAACCAGGAGCACAGTTATACAAAGACAATTTAAGCCATTGTGAGAATATCATTTAAAAATAAGCGGAGGTTAGCGCATTCTTCCAATCAAAACCTCTTGAAAACTGGGTTTCCGAGTCTTGCTTAAAAGCCAGAGGTAAGGAATGAAACTTCTTTGGGGCCACCATGGAAAAGACCCTGTCAAGAGTGCCACGAATAGATTTGCATAACCGATGTTATAGCTCAAGTTCATCAAAATGTAGGTGATCTTAAATGTATATATCCTTTATACCAGGGATGTCAAACTGCTGGCCCGCGGGCCAGATGTGTCATGCCAAAACTGCGCCCACCCCATTGCCGGCAATGGGAAAAAAGTCACGATACGTCGCGACACGTCACATGATGTTGCGAGTGTGACACCCATTGTCTATGAAGTACAACCGATGGCCATTGCAAATAACTGATAATCACTGATGCTTTTTGAAGAGAAGTCACAGGTCAGCAATAAATAAGAAAATACTGAACATTAAGAAAATATTTCTGCTTTCCCCAAGAACAAAACAATGTACAATTTGAAATACGTCAGAGAGACCATAGAAAAGTGTTTTAATGAGAATTTTAATCTTGTAACTAAATGACTTTTTTTGGCGAAGACTTTAGACCCAGCCAAGGAAGAGTCTAATTAACATTCAGAAGAACTTTCTCAAAGTCAAGTGGTCATCTTGGTCAGAATGCTAAACTAATCAGAGAAAACCTGACCTTTCCAGAGCATATGAATATAATATGAAATATGAAATAAGTGGGATCCTGAAAACAAAAACAAGAGATGGACCGACTGGTTCGGATGTTTCTTTTCACGGTCACAAATTATGTAAGGAGATGCTAAGGAAGCACGAGAAGACTTGGCTGGCCTAACAATGGTCTTTTAGGAGAGACGTATCATGTCGAAGCTAAGCAAAAATCATGCAATCTCTTTTTCCAATTTTGTTTGTAACCTGTTTGTTGCCCCTATGGCAGCGACTTCTCACTGAAGGAAAACTTTCAGTTGACAGCCACTCAACAGGAGAAAGCCAAATGTCAAGAAAGTGAACAGAAAAATTATAATGATTCTTAGCATTTGTATCAAAAACCTGAGATGTTCACTATCTTTCCTTTAATCCCCTCACTTGCTAAAGAGATAGCACCACATCAAAGGAGTAAAGCATCTTTGGCTATCTTGAAGTGGCTCAATAACATGGTTTTATAAACCGTGGTTACTGAAAAAGCCACACTTGGTTTATGTGCTAAGCCATTTATCATGGGTAGCCACAAAGAAACTGTGTTATGGTTTAGGATGCATGACTATATTACAATGAACAAATTAGTATTTTCTTGAGGAACATCAAGGGGAATAACAGAGCTTTTGAACAACAACAAAGAGGAGAAAGAAGACCTATATTCCAATATGAATCTGAGAGATATATGAGGCCGAGTTTCCATCTTCTAAATAAGCTTGATTGATTGGTTGTTTGATTGACTGGTTATGTGCCATCAAGATGGTGCTGACTATTAACAACCATAAACATACCTTTCTGTTCCTAAATATAATTCTTAGGAAAATGGAATCTAATGTTTGTTATGGCTGGATGTCGATAAAAATTTAGTTGATGTAAGCTGCTAAGATAGCATCCAAAATCATAGTATGATTTGAGTCTTTAAACTATGCTTGTCCTAAACCACTCTTTGCCATGACAAACCATCGGGTCCATCTCAGACAATCAGGAATTTTGAACAGGCGAGAAATTTGTCCGACATTATAAAGCAGTGGTGGCGAACCTATGGCACGCGTGCCAGAGGCGGCACTCGGAGCCCTCTCTGTGGGCACACGTGCCGTTGTCCCAGCCTTGCCTCCCCCCGTGACCCCCTCCTCACCAGCAGCCCCCCTGGAGGAGAGTTGCCCACGAGCGTGGCCCACACGGAGCAGCACAGCCAAGGACATGGCAGCCAGGCAGCATAGACAAGACTCTGCCCTCATGCCCCATTGCGCACAGTTGATGCTGCAGGGCGCAGGCAGAGGGCGTGGCCGCCATGGCGCTGCTGGGCTGCCTGAGCGATCTGCAGTGGGCCCTGGAGGCGGTGAGTGGCCCTGCGGGCAGGGAGGGTGGGGGCGGGGCAGGGGGTGGACCGGGGGCGGGGCCAGTTTTTGGGCACTTGGTCTCTAAAAGGTTCGCCATCCCTGTTATAAAGCCTATAGGTTTAGACACATTTGTCCATTTGTTTTAATTTAACTTAATAGCTCCACGCCTTAAAAGAAACATTCACCATTACTGATTATTGAAACAAACAAAAATAAAACAAACATCTTTTTTTGCCTAAAATACTTTGATAATGTTCTCCGAAGCCAAGATGGGTGGGTATGGGTAGCATTGGCAAACACAGCAGTTGGACATATTTGATCTTAAAGAAAGCCCTTTTTGTTCCCAACAACTTTGAGAAATTCCGCTGTAAATCATTCCAGACCCAGTCATTCATCTGACTGCATGACCGGCTGTGACACTGCCAAGGTGGAGAAGTCCTTAGATGATCTCCCACAGAATGCCTAATTGTCCAATACAGTACAGCCGCTTACAATAAATGCAAGATAGTCCAGCGAGTGATACTTTGTTGGGGAAAAGAGAACAGAAGTAGCTTGAGTTTAGTTCCCTGTTTCACTGAATGAGCATGTTTTTTTATTAAGACATCCTTCAACTACAGCTTGGAATGATTAGCCTCTGCCCTGGTGAATTTTGAAACATTTTCATCAGAGTATTTAAAATGTAACTACGCCGTTCATCCAGCTAAATGGCTTGTCACCTCTGTCAGAAAAACCTTAGTTAGCAATTGCTCCAAGTTTGGGACCGAAGACAATATTTGATGGCAGAGAAGGGTGACAGTGTGATTATTATGGAGATTCAGCAATAATTAATATCTAATAAGTACATTCAACCTTGTAGCCTGGTCAATTGTGAGAGAAGTTATGAACTATAGTGCAGTAAATCTGGTAGACTGACTTTTCCTATTTCTACATCTATAAACTTGTTTGGAGAAAATGATTCTGGTTGAGCTCCATCCAACTAGAACTTTGGTTCTGCTCGTGTCCAATTTTCAAACACAAACAAAAAAATCCACACTTACAATCACAGCGGGACTGGATTCAAGGTAGGAGGATCATGCCATGACCAGCGTATGGTCCTTAATGTACCAATGACAACAATGACCTTGAAGATTATCTGCAGGTTTGAGAGAGCACCAAGTTTATCAACAATACAGAGATGCCTTCGAGCAGGGGTGTCCAACCTTGTCGACTTTAAGACTTGTGGACTTCGACTCCCAGAATCCCCCAACCAGCGTGGACACCCCTGCTTTAGGGGGAATGTTAGATAAGATCCACTAGGAGTCAACTCTCCCAAGCCATTCTGATTTGCAACGAACTATTGTCCTTCCCCTGATTGACTCTTAACCACGAGCTTCATCTTCTTATTGACAATGGCCATCTTCTTGATTCCTTGGCCATCTTTACACAGGAAGACTGTCAGCATTTGAGTATATAGGATTCCAGACAGTGGTGGGATTCAAATATGTGAACAACTGGTTCTCTGTGTGGATGCCGCTTCCGGAAGTCAGTTCTGGGCCTGGGCAACGAAAAATTAGCTACCGGTTTTGCCGAAGTAGTGCGAATTGGCTGAATCCCACCACTGATTCCAGCCTTAAAATATTACCTACAATTCAATCTTTGATATATGCAGTTGCATTCTCACAGCTGCTTTTAAAGGCTGTCTCCAGAACTTCTGCATGGATGTGTAAAGTTGCTTTGGT